TAGATCTTTTATAGAGACAGAATTCTTACTGAATGAGATGATCTCATAGAACTCAACTCGTCCTCGTTTCTGTATTTGCCAGCCTCACGATTCGATCAAGCAACATTACGGCAAGAGTAGCTGTTCAAATCGACCTGAGTAGTCTCCATTTCCGAGTGGGAATTTCCAACTATCATTTTCGAAGACGAAGTCAAAAGCGTTGATGAACAACAAACAGATTTAGTGGACGGTTCTATATGCTATAGTCACAGTCACTCACTTATGGTACTGCGTACTCGCTGGTCCTGGCCTGATCATAAGTTCAAGCTTTTTACTACCTCACTACCATTACTTATAAGCACATCAAACCCCCGAAGATTAAAACGATCATGTGACGCCATTATCATAAATGTCTGCGAATATGAAAAAAATTCCGCGAAGTATTCTATGACATGTTCACCCCTCCTACTTTTATTTCGAAATTTTTCTTTTATTCGCATAACAGGATAATATCTTGGAGAAGATGTTCAGGCTCAAAAAAAGGTATTTCAAGGAAATGAAAACATAATGGAAAAAGGAGCATGGAATACCTTGAAACTAGTCCTTGCATGGAATATTCTGAAGTTGTCGAGGAAGATCACAGTTCCTGGTCGGAGAGAGATCGTTGTAGCGTTCTGAGGAGAATGACAGATCCGTGAAAAGGCTACATAAGCTCGATAGTAGGTCAGCGCATGGCGAGCACAGCTTTCCGACTCATCACCGATTTGAAGTGCTCGAAATGGAGCTCTATCGTAGGGATTGAACCTGCAACGATATCTTGTCAACAAACATGAGTAAAGGGATAAACGATAAGGTCTTCGGGCGTATGTATCCTATATAACGACTACATCGATCCGGGATTCGAACCTGTGACCGTGCTTGTGTGAAAGGGCGCTACTTGATACTAGACCACGCAACCTCTACCCAACGAACATGGATAACTTTATGAGTTAACAAATAGGGAAAGTGGGGAAGTTCGACTTTGTCAAGTCGAAAAATTAAGTCAAATGGAGTGAGAGTATCTCGTGGGACAGGATTCTCGGTCGAGGGACTTCGTTCTCCATCCAGAATCAAAGATGAACGAGGCTGGAAATATTTTCGTGCAAAATCCTTGCGATTTGATTTGTTCCAACAGCGCCAATCGCTCGCCATGACTCGTCTGTGAGATTTAGTCTGCTTGACAGAAGAGCCTGCGTGAATGATCGTTGGTGTGTTTACTACCTCGCTGCAGCGGCAGCAAACATCTCACAGTTCACAGTTCACCTAG